GGACACAGAGAACTCTTGGACAGTGGGGTGTGGGGCAGGCCAGACCACGTGCTCTCAGGGACTTACCTGCTCTGTCTTTGCCCCAACAGTGACCTATCAGCAAGGGGTGCTGTCTGCCACCATCCTCTATGAGATCCTGCTGGGGAAGGCCACTGTGTATGCTGTGCTGGTCAGCACCCTGGTGCTGATGGCCATGGTAAGGAGGAGGGTGGGATGGGGCAGGCATGTTACAGGAAATCTCACAACCCAAACTCAGAAGCACAGATATAGAGACCCTCAGGATCATTTACGGGTGGTAGGGAAGGAAGGAGCTTTACTCATATACATCAAAAGACAACCTGAGACTCCAGAGTCCTAATAGGAAGAAAAATCTGTGGTCCCCCAAACAACCAGTGGGTTTGTGAGGAAACTTACTGTTTGTTTGGTCAATGGCCCTTCCACTTCTTCTTAATCCCCACCTCCCCTGCTGCAGGTCAAGAGAAAGGATTCCTGAAGCTATCTCTGGAGGTGCAGCCAGGAACTTTCAACCCAATATGGCGCTGCATGGATTCTCCTTTTGCCAATGCTTCTGAAGGGATGTTATCCCTCTCCTCACCCCAATATCTATCCCCTATAGGCATGCTCACTTGATAATTTTTGCTTAAATTTCCCTAACCCAAAGGAATCCTAGAATGCTTAGATGATCAAACAAATAAAATGTCCTGTTCTGGCCTAACGTGATATTTCTGCTTTTTTTTCTATCTCAGAATTCCCCATGGCTCTTCCTGTTTAGTCAGGATAGAAACAGCAGGCATTCAAGAAAAGGCAGAACCCTCCAGTCAGAAAAGTCAGGGACCCACCTGTGATTGACAGGAGAGATTAATTAAATGTGAAAAGGTGGTAATGGGAGTTGAAGACGTTATACCCAGAATAGTCTATGGAGAGGCTGAGTACAGCAATTTTCTCTCCTTCCCTGGACAAATGTGCTCCAAGAAACAGCAGACCCACACAAATGTGTCCATCTGTCAACTGGTCATATAATCCTTGTTGACAAGGCTTGGTTCCCAATATGTCACCCAATATCCTTCCAGTCACTTCCTAGATTACACTGGTTCTCCATTAGTTCACCACGTAGGTTTCCCAGCTGAAAATAAGATAATGCACTGACTTGGAAACTTATTTTCAGTGGAAGATGTGTCTTACAGTTTAAGTTACAATCTGTTGATGAATTTCCCTTTAGTTAATTATATTGGTGTGAAAATGATTGCCTATAAGGATAGAAAATAAAGTTCTCTAGAACCAAAAATCAGCCCTATTTCTAGGTCTAGAGACCTCTGGGAAGCTCTCTGTTGTCTCCTGGTCACTGTGGTGATGTAGTCCCAGTCTTTTAGGTGGCATACAGATGAGAGTATAAAGTCTATCTCATTATTCCATGCTTACCCACCCATCTTCCTATGTCTGGACCCCTAAGCCTCTTGCTCAGGTCACTGGGTACAGGATATTCCTATCCATCCTGGCTGGAATGACAGCACTCTTTCTCTCTCATGACTTCTACTTGGCCTTCAGGATCTGACTTCGATCTCTTTCCTTCCCCAAAGTCTCTCTGGCCCTTCATCGCCCTGTCTTTCCCCTTTACTCCCCTGAGACTGGATGAACTACACCATCCCAGTGCCTGATGCAGAGGATGCCTCTCCCTTCCTGACTCAGCACACTTAATGGAAACGACCTCCTGTCTGATACCCCCATTTGACTTGGAGGTTCTTTTGTTTTATGGTAGTATCCCTGGAATATGGCCTGATGCCTTGGTTCAGTGTAGACACCAGATAGGAATCTGAATAAGTCAGTGAATAAACAGTGAACCCAAAGTGACCCAATTCAGGAATATCATCACAAGTCCTTACTGACATAGCCATCTCCCTACACCACACAGCTGTTTCTCTCTAATGCAACACGTGCATGTTTTCAAAAGGTGTCTGTGCACATATGTACACATATGTATACATATGAATATATTTACACACCTACTCATTGAACACATATCATTGCAGTGATTTGCTTTTGACCTCCAAGAAAATAAAGGTATCCCAATTATAGTACCCCAGTTCACAAAGGAGCTAAGTCACGACTACAAAGACCTGGAATACAAGACCATGCTTTGAAACAGCGATTGAGCTGTCCACTAACATGCAGAGACTGGCAATTAACTTGGGCTGGGATAATCAGGGAAGAGTCTGAAGAGGTGTTAAACTCTTCAAAGGAAGAATCATCGGGCTCAGCCGTCCACTAGAGAGTGGTAATACCAAGTTAGAGGTATGATCAAAAGCCCAAACATATTAGGTCTATCAATTTAGCTGGAAGGCTCAGAGGTAGGAGTGATCAAAATTACTTTTACCGTTGCAAATAGCATGCGGCCTGATGCAGAATAGATGCTCACTAAATACCTGTGGAAAAAATAAATAAGGAGTGTGGACTTTGTCCAGGAAGCAATAGGAATTATTGCGGTTTCTGAGTTGTTTTGTCCTTGTGCCACAAGTTGCCATCACCTGCATCATGGATTGCTCTGTTAAAGTTGTCCTCCCCTCCCCCATTCTCATCTACTTCACTATAAATGCCAGTTTGAGCAGGTGGGCACAGTGAGTCCCAGAAGGGAGACCCAATGACATAGATGGTCTCCTCAGAATGGCGCATGTTCCAGGGAGGGGCTCTTTGCCCTCATTACCACACCACCACTAGCACAATAACCAGCCACAAGCCCCTCCCCCATTTAGATTTACCTTGGGTTTGTGTTTGCCTAGCCCCACTCAGACTAACCTCTGCCACCTGCACCTTCTGCCTCTGCCCAGTGGCTGGGGGAGGGGCACCAATGGGGAAGAAACATTTTTGTATCATAATATAACATTGTGGGGAGTGGGGGGAGCACAATGATTCAAGTAGAGGAGATGCTTTTACAAAAAGCCCTGACCCAGAAAATATACCCTCTAGCCAGGGGAAAGCAGCTACCAGATGGGCAGAGGTCTGTGCTGCTGGTCCCTACTGTTGTCTAGCAGGGTCCAAGACTGAGTGAATACCTGTGTATCTCCCTGCTCACCGCTTTCCTTAAACGAGAAGGGCAAGGCAACTAAGTAGGGTTGCTATTCAGCATTTTTCATAAAACTTGCCCTTGGCAAAGTACTTGTAACTGCATCAAATATAATTAAAACTCGTAAAAACCTTGTAGAAAAGATATTATCCCATCTTTCAGATGAAGAAACTGAGGTCAGAGAGGTTACAGGTTATATAATCAGTAAGAGGCAGGGTTTAGTCTGAAACCCTCCAGGCTACCCAACACTACCAACACCCCATCAGATTTCACCTTCACTGTATCATCCCCAAACCAAGTGAATTCTCATCTACAAATTGGGGGTGACCTCTGCAATACCCTTTACTTTGTCCAATTAAGTCTAGAGGTGGGAAGTGGAAAACCGAGGAGAGGGAGGGCGAGCCTTTCCCCTTCTCCTGACCTTAGTGAGGAAGGCAAGGAGCAAGAATTCTTGACAGCTCCTTGTCACTGTGCTCCTATAACGAGCAGTTCTTTGGATCAGGGACCCGGCTCACCGTGCTAGGTAAGGCAGGTAGCTTCCAGGAGAAGTGGCTGATCAGCCTGGATGCCCCTGAACCCTGGCCAACTTAGGGGAGTGGGCTCCGGACCATCGAGTGCCCTTCCCTGGGGAAAGCGGGGGTTTGTGACGGGATCCCATGGCTGTGGGAACACAGTTCGCTCACAGTGGTTCTTTGGGGAAAGCTCCAAGCTCACCATACTGGGTAAGGAGGAAGCTGGACGATATGGTGGGTTGGGATGGAGAGAGATGGGTAGCTGGTGGGCTCCCTGTGAGGCTGCGCTGAGAGCCGCTCCTCGGCGCCTGAGCCCAAAGACCCCTGGAGCGCTCAGGGTGGGTAGGGACCTGGGCTGGGGCTGGGACAGCAGGAGCGGCCGGGCGGGTTTTTGTCCTGGGCCTGGAGGCTGTGAGCTCAGATACTCAGTATTTTGGCCCAGGAACTCGGCTGACGGTGCTAGGTAAGCGGGGGCACACGGGGAACCGGGGTGTGGGAGTGGGGGGCCCTCGGGGGACGCCGGAGTGCCGCCAGTTTTTGTGCCGCTCTGGGGGGCTGTGAGCCAAAACACTCAGTACTTCGGTGCCGGAACCCGGCTGTCGGTGCTAGGTGAGCCGGGGCCGCCGCCGGGCACAGGGTGGGACTGTGGCACGGGTTTTTGTGCCGCGCTCGGGGGCCGTGAACCAAGGGACCCAGTACTTCGGGCCAGGCACGAGGCTGCTGGTGCTAGGTGAGCGGCGGCGGCGGGCGGGGACGGTGGCGGGAGCTGGTCGCTCGGGTCCAGTTTTTGTGGGGAGCCCCCGGGCTGTGCTCTGGAGCCGGTACCCTGACTTTCGGGGCTGGCAGCCGGCTGACCGTACTGGGTGAGTGTCGGGCGACCTGCAGCTCGGGAGCCGATCGGGATGGATGAGGGCGTGGTCCGGGGGCTGCTCCCGCTCCTCTGCACCTTTTTCCCGGAACTGAGCTCCAGCCAACCGGTCCCTGAGCTGGGAGCCCCGGGCTGGGACCCTGGGGTGGGAAGTGGCTCAAGGCGCTGCTGGGGTTTGCGCGCGGGGCTGTGCCTCCGTGCTCCTACGAACAGTACTTCGGTCCCGGCACCAGGCTCACGGTCGTAGGTGAGATTCGCGCGTGTCCCCCACCTTCCTATCTGAGCCCCGTGGTCCCCCGATGGGTGCGGGGTGGTGGGGAGCTGTGGGCCCTCAGAGAGTTAGTGATCCCGGGTCAGCTTTGCAACTTCACCTCCCGGCTTCTCCGCAGCTTGGTGAAGAACAGGTTGGGTAGGGAGGTGCTCAAGGTCTAGGAACCTGGACACAGGACATGGCCAGTTTCTCTCTTTTTCTGAGATGTTTAGGGACAGGCTGGGCGACAGAGACGATTTAGTAGGACTCCCCTCCCGAGAACCGCTAGACTAGAGAAAAAGAGAAGGGCAAGCCTGGTTGGGGACTAGGTAGAGGGAGATATGTCTGCTAAGAAGCAAAAAGAATTGAATGCGCAGACATAGCAGGAATGAACCAAGAGGGTAGTGCCCGCCAAAGCGGGGCTCCAGGCAGGTGTTGGGGCAGAAATTATTTAGACTAGGGTCAGTTGAAAAGAGAAGAAAAAGGCTGCTAGACAAGAGTGGAACAGGGAAGCCAACACCATAGCCAGATAAGCATGAGTCAGTAAAGAAGACTCAAAACAAGAAAACAAGCTGAGGCTCGGCAGTATAGATTTAAAATTAAATTAAAACCCCTCCATCTCTTTCCTCCTAAGTGTGGGACCCCTGAAGCAGCGGTAGAGGCCCAGTGTCCACGCCTGCTCATAGCTGGTCATTAAACAGGTGCAGGCAGGAATGGGGGCACCTCAGCTTCTGGGATGTATTTACTCCCTAGATGAAAATCCCACCCCTACTAGCCTGAAATCTCTGTCACTCACTCTAGGTATCATTGTTAAAACAGCTCAGACTTTCTGTTCATTTATCTCAAACACAGGTTTAAATGCAGTTATTTTGCCTGAGAGGTGAGAAAAATTCCCTGGAAGATCTTAGGCTCTGGGGGTGAAAGGGACCTTAAACACCACCTGCTGAGAACCCTGAAGCCAGAGAAACAACTCACAGTCTTGGTGTACTAACCCAGATTGTATGATAAGCACAACTCCAGGCACCAACTGTCATTAAGCTGGATCCAATGGGGCTGGTTCAGCTTCACTAAAGTGTGCCCTGAGGAAATTCTAGATTCCTGTGACCAGCTGGGGTAGAGAAAGATAAACCTTGAGCCAGATGAAGCTGGGTCCAAATCCCTGGCATTTTAGTCATTTAGAAATTATTTAGACTAGGGTCAGTTGAAAAGAGAAGAAAAAGGTAAAAAGAAAAAGAAAGGTTAAAAAAGGTAAAAAGAAAAAGAAAGGTAAAAAGAAAAAGGTATATGTGAGCTTCAATTTCTGTGTAATATAGAAACAGGGTGGAGGGCTGTGTATGTGCCAGAGGTAGACTGGGAAGAGCAAAGAGGAAGCTCACAGTATGGCCTGAGGCTGGTCCATAGCAGAATGAATACAAACAGCAGCTCACTAGGGCACATTGTTGCATTCACACAGGCCAGTAGAGTCATAGAGACAACCTTCGAGGGGTAGTGGGGGTCTGCTTATGTTTGTTCTGCCAGCCGTATTGGTAAATATCCTAGGGAATAGCTCACATGGCTTAAGGCACTTTAATTTTATTATAGGGACTGAGTGAGGTCAGAGAAGTACACTCCATATTGCCCTTGGAAATTGGCAGGATCCCATTCTAGGCAGTTTAACCTACAATATTTAGTGTGAGTACTAGCGACCCCAGAGTCTTTGAAACAGAGTGAAGGATAGAAGTGAGGATATTATCATTTTACCCCAGTCTCTGCCAGTTTAGACCTAAAAGCATAACCAACTAGCAAGGAAGGAGGTAGGGTGAAGGGAGGTTGACCATATGAAGATAGGACCAGCTACAAATTTTGCAGGCCCAGCTTAAACTAAAAATGCCAGAGCTACTATTAAAAAGATATTTAGAATTTGGAAATGGTGGCATCAGGCACTGGGTCTTTCTAAGCATGTAATCCTATATTGCAAGTATGCAGGCAGAACTGAGGTAGCACTGGAAGGAGGTGATATCCATAGAACTGTGAGGAAGGGTCAAAATAAATTTTCTCCAGAGCCCAGAATACGAATACTATGGGTTCTCATAAGAAGTATATTGCTTCAGTTTAATAGAACTGCTCAGAAACAAAAAGGAATCAAGGAAAAGCAAAGAATGTAATAGAAACTTGGGTGGCACTTGGAGGCAGAGGAAACTGCAGGAAAAAAAAATGACACAGGGACATGAAAGAGACTGTCCTCAGTTTGCATTGATGGGAAAAATCAGTTCTAGGATTCAGCTACGGTTATTTCTGATTTCTATCCCAGATTCCATTTTAATAGCTACTATATAAAATGATGAGAAGTAGCAAGTAAACGTGTATTTGTGGAGAAGAAATAAATAATTGTCAATGAAGGGACACAACCCCAAATGTTAGCGAGTGCCCTTTCATAAGGCCATTTAAGGGAGACAGTCAGTGAACAGTGCCTGTTCTTCAGGTGAATTCAAAGGAAAGGCAAGGAAGAGAGAGAACACCAAAGGGGAGTGGAACACTGACCCCCCGCACCCCCAAAGCAAACAGTACCTCCACAACATAATTTTGTATTATCTTGAGGGTCAAACACGCACACATAGAGTCTCCACCTGACCCAGAGTGATCTCAGAACAGCCCTGTTCCCAACCCCCCTTCACTTTCCAGAGGACCTGAAGAAGGTGTCACCACCCAAGGTCACTGTGTTTGAGCCATCAGAAGCAGAGATCGACAGGAAAAAAAAGGCCACCCTCGTGTGCCTGGCCACAGACTTCTACCCAGACCACGTGGAGCTGAGCTGGTGGGTGAATGGAAAGGAGGTGCAAAATGGGGTCAGCACGGACCCTCAGCCCTCCAGTGCCGCCAGTGACTCCAAATACTTCCTGAGCAGTCGCCTGAGGGTCTCTGCCACCTTCTGGCTCAACCCTCGCAACCACTTCCGCTGCCAAGTGCAGTTCTATGGGCTCTCAGAGGAAGACGAGTGGACCGAGGAGGGGCCCAAACCCATCACCCAGAATGTCAGTGCTGAGGTCTGGGGCCGAGCAGGTGAGTAGGGCCTGGGGAGGCTGTGAGGAGATGGGGCTGCACCAGGGGAGCACAAAGATGGGTACAGTCAGAAAGTCTAGATGCAGGGCTGGGGGTGGAGAAGAGGACTAAAGGCCATCAGGAAGGGGAGCTGGGCACCTAGGGCTAACTCCTCCCCATCCTCTGCCCAATAGCCTAAGAGCTAGGGGCCCCTTTCTCCATGGAGCTCAGCACCTGGGTACCCCCTCTGTCCCCTTGGTGCTGCCACTCATTATAGGACTCAAGAATGATGGGTGACCTTGTCCCAGGAGAAGAAAGATGGTCCCAGGGCTCAGAGAGGACTGGCCAGGACCAGGCTTGAGGCTGACTTAGTTCCAACCTGCTTAAGGAGATGAGGTCTCTCACCCATCTTTCTCCCCTCTTTTCTTTCAGACTGTGGTGTCACCTCAGGTGAGTGAGCTGCTTCCTTTCTGTTCATCTCCCTGGTCTTGTCTCTGGACCCAGGACACAGAGAACTCTTGGACAGTGGGGTGTGGGGCAGGCCAGACCA